ACCTCACCAACATATTTCTGAACTAATTCTGAACCAATGACACGAATGAAACAGGCATCTGTTCTGTTAGCTACTGCTCTAGCACATAAAGTCTTTCCTGTGCCTGGAGGTCCAAACAACAAAACACCTTTTGGTGGTTCAATACCAAGATTGACAAATTTTTCTGGCTGCAATTAATATTTATTACATTAATATTTGTTATACTTTGTTCATAAATGTAATGTATGATTATATTATATAATAGTATGATTATAAACCAACATGTAATAGTGGCGTTTCAACAACTTCTCTCAATTTCTCAATTTGTTCTTTGCAGCCACCAACGTCACTATAGGTAACATCAGGCTTTTCTTCTACTTGCATCATTGTCACAGTAGGATCAATTTTGGATGGCAGAGGAATATGAATTTGATACTTGTTGCGATCTACTCCTACCCTCATACCTTCTTCTATATCTGTTGGCGCTACAGAATCTGCCAAGTCAACTACAAACTTTGCAAACTGCTTCACATTTATTATATACTTTGGATCGTCAGAATCTGCGTTTATGATTTTGGTACAGCGTGCCACTTGCAGAGGTTGTTCATTTTGCAGAGTTTGTTTGTCAGCTGCTAAGTCCCAAAGTGCTGGTGGTGCCAGACCGGTATCAGACTCTTTGATCCCAGTTAATTCATTCACACGCTTGATAATTGTTTGGATATCCTCTTCAACAGCCTTAATACTTTTCGTATATTGTCCTTGGCCCTAATTAAAACAAATTTACAAGGATTCTAAACAAACATTTATATAGCAAATGAGCATTCATCTCTGTATATTGATTTTAAATTTCCCTTTTAACAACAACATAACAATGATTAACTCACATAAGTCTTCAACAAAGCGATGTCGCCTTCATCTAGTGCTGAAAATTCAGGAGACAGCCTTTAGGAAATAGAAATTATGACAAGATTGACAATAAAGTCACGAAATGGAGCTCACATTTTATCTCCTTCTCTTCTTTCTCCTCCTCATTCTTCATCTTCCGCATATCTTCTCCTAGATGATCCGGCATGTTCGCTCTTGTTAAATCGTTCTGCTTGCTCACACTACGCTTTTGACGTTTGTTATTAGCAAAGTTAACAATTCCGATTCCCAGGATTTTTTTGAGGTTACGTTCCTTCTGATTACAAGCAAAATCAGTAAAGAACCTCCGAAGCGACATCTGGGTATCGATTCTCTAATAGCGTTTTCGGCCCGATCGGGTTTGCACCAACCTGGGTTGGATTAATCTTTCCTATTGGTTGATATCACACGCTCTACCAATAGGAGAGCGCAAAACGCCGTTAATCCAACCCAGGTTGGTGCAAACCCGGTCGGGCCGAAAACGCTAATAGTCGATTCTTATTTCAAGACCGTCTTAGGCCGGAATCGGACTACGCATTGGGTGCATCCAGAAGCACGACCGCTCACAGAGCGCTCGGTGAGCTCTTGCATCTGATTGACATATTCCATTAGATCGAAAAATATAGACCAAACAGATACAAGAGCTCAATGAGCGCTCAATGAGCGGTCGTGCTTCTGGATGCACCTATTGGCGATTGAGATTGCATTGAGATTGCATATTGGAGATTGGATTTTGACCAATCAGAACGAAGAAAGCAAAGATTGAAATTACAGATTGAAATTAGAGCTCGATCTATTTTTTCAATCTTCAATCTCAATAATAGCCAATGGCTTGGCGACTTTTTGGTCATGTGATGGATATTTAATATTTTTTCTGTAGAAGCAAAAGGCCACAAAAAGGCTGACGGCAGTGCATGTTCTGAAGGAGGTTAAGTTTCGGGTAAGGGCCCAGACACACACTTTTGCATAACGCATAACGCATAGTGCATAAGCGAATCAACCAATCAAAATTCTTCTTTTCCATGGAATGAGAGGAAAGGAAAGCTTCTGATTAGTTGATTCGCTTATGCACTATGCGTTATGCGTTATGCAAGAGTGTGTGTCTGAGCTCTAAGTTTTGTATAAATAAAAGTTAGTAAATTATATATATTGTATACATACTTTTGTACAACTTAATTATTCAGAAAACACTCCTCACCTTCAATTTGGGGTGATCCCGATTGACCACGTCTCGATTGGACACCACCAATCACAGCGACCGGTGCATAGGAGCTTTGTAGTCTCAAGCGCTGTGAGTGGCTCGTGTCCAATTGAGCCGTGTCCAACTGGGTGCCACCCCTTCAATTTCAATGAAATATGCTTATTCGACGCATTTTTGTGTGAAATAAAAGATGGCATAGCGGTTACACAAATTGTCTGTTTTGTAAACATAAATTATCTGCTTTAGAAACACAAATCGTTTTCTACATAATTTTTTACAGTAGAGAATCTATGTAATTCTCTATGCCGTCGATGTAATAGATTTCCTAACTTAACAGTAATTTACTTTAACGATTAATATCTCGCTTCGCGAGACTGAGCCATAGAGATATTATAAATAGAGGGCAAAAGCCGTAGGTACAAGCGTTAGCGGGATAGAAAGAGAACGCTGCATAGTTTCTCGTGTCATTCTTGTTTAATGACGCATGCGCGCAGCCCATCCATGTTTACTTACAAGCATGGTAGTGAATATGCCGGAATTAACCGCTTTCGATTTTGCAAATGTTGTGATACTTTCTCCTTTGCCAACGAGTGATACGTAATTTATAGAATGTTTATCGCATTTGATCATCGGATAGCGAGGGAAATTTGTGATAATATCAATCAATTAAAATGATTTACTTTTAAAATAATTTTAAATAATAATTTTCATCATATACATGATAAAGAATGAGAGAATTTTCATCATATACATGATAAAGAAGAATATTAAAGGTACCATTTCTTCTGTATTTGCAATATTACTTTTTTAACACCATTATTTTCATTACAATTAATTAAATCATACATGAGGATTGTTTATTTATAAATCTAGCATTGCATTTTAACATTTTCAGTCCTATCAAATATGTAACGCGTACTTGTCACGACAGTGTCCAAAACATGAATTTGGACATTGTCGTGCTTATAAACAAAATATTTCGCATCATTTCCATATTCTTTCTTCATGATTTTAGAAAGGAACATGTTTTCCGCTGTCTTCGCCAAAAAATCCGAATGTTTTTAATGCATTTTCATGTCAAAATCAATTACTTTGCATTACAACTCATCCGCCGGCGTTTGAAATCCATCGGCTCCGCGGGGTCCACGGCCGGCCAACCAGCGCGAAGTCATATTGCGCGTGCGCGAGATTAGACAAAGACACACAGGGAAACTATGCATCGTTCTCTTTCTATTCGTATATCGCAGCCACTCACGCGTCAGCCTACTGCTGACGCGCTCTATTCTTATATCTCTATGGACTGAGCACATTTTAAAACGCCTTTTTATGCTTGACGCTCGACACTCATTTTTGGCATCAAAATAAGTCACGTGATACAAATTGACGAATATCAAGCGTTAATTTTGTTCACGTGATCTGTTTTGACGCTGAAAATAAGCGTTGAGCGGCAGCATGAAAAGGCACCTTAAGTGTCAGATTATTCCATTTCAATAATTCCTCATTTTTTGTATATGCTAATTTTCTCTCTTTTAATGATGAAATAAAAAGTATTTTGTTATATGATTTAAGAAAATCGATATAATATTTTTATATGTTATTATTTGATTTCTTATTTTTGAAGATAATTTTGGTAATGAGCAGTATTGTTTACATTTTTCTAATAAGGCGGCTTCTGTAGTACGAGCACAGCAACAAGGATTTCTGGCATACGTGTGTATTTTATAAAAACATTTTCACATCACAAGGTACATAATCATCGACATCTAGAATGGACCGCTGATGGCAATGGTGGGGGTAGAAAGACGATTAGAGTGAGAGGTAGGAATAATAAGATCGTTCTTTCT